ATAGATATGAAACTCTGAAGAATATTCGTCCTACTCCTTTAAAATGTATAATCTCCTCATTACAGATTTTGAAGAATCCTCAATTCAAATCCAGACTGCGGCAGCCCTATACCATGTAGCTGTTGGACTCGTATGGGATAACAATAATCAAAGTCATGATATCCACGCATGGATTTTATCTCATCTTGATTAAATGTAGAGAAATCATATACAGTCTATTTTGTGATAGAAACTGAAAGAAAGAGGGCTTTACATTGTCCTTTTGAATTTGCTAGGACAATTTTTTTATGAACTTTAGAATAACGCTCATGTACATAGTTTTGTTGAAAGATAAAGTACACTTATTAATAATGATTAGGCCATTCCAATTTTTTTTTTATGTTTAGTGTCTGCGTGTGCCTTGGTTTTTGACACCCCATGTCAGAAAAAAAAAACAAACAGAATTAGGAGTTCGAAACTTGGTTATTCAGGTCAAATTTTTTGATTTCCAGCAATATCTCTGAATATTTGTATAATACATGTATTTCATTATTAGAATAGTTTTAGTATTTAATGCCTTGATTTTGCTAAAGAAAATAACTTTCTTTATGAAAAACAGAGAAATGAAATCATATCTTTTGAGTTATGTGATTTTTATTACTATAAAATATGTGTTTTATTATCTTTTTTGTACCTGTGTGTTTTTACGAATAGGTAGCTAGGTTTTTGAAAGATGGGTGGACACTAAACAGAAAAAAAACTTGGAATGGCCTTGGCTTCAACTAAATATTAAAGTTTAAATTTGCCATGGATATTTTAATTTTACAAATTTGAGCAAGATGTTTGCAGACTGACATATTTCTTGAACACATTATACATGATATATTACAACTATTTGAAATACAATGTAAATACATATTGTACTTACTTTATTATATGTAATGTCTTTGCATATACGATTTGCATGTATACTCAGAAAAATCAAATGAATGGTTTTTTTTTTCAAAATTGTTACAATAAGAGCTATTTAAAGGGAAAGAAAAAAAATTGACATGATATTCAAACTTGTATTTTTATTGCAGATTGTAAAAATTCATGAAATAATCATAATAAATTTGTACATGTATGTAAAATTGTTTTAAATTGAGAATACCTGACTCTCTTTAGCACGTGATCCTTGGAATGTCATGTGCTTTAAATATGAATGTGATTTACCCACATTTTAAAATTGAGCCCTAGATCTAGCTGCCAGGTCTGTTGAAGAAATTTTAGGGTGATGAAGGAAGAGGGCCGGAATTAACTGAAAACTTATGTTTTGACAAACCAAAACAATGTTCATATTAATTAGGCCATCTAAATTTAATTCTCTGGTTCTCAGGCCAATTTTTTTCCAAAACAGATGCGGGAGGGCGGCATTTTATTTATTATTTTATTGGCAGAAAAGTAGATGAGGGAGGTATTTTTTTAATTTGAATTTTCAAATTTTCTTTAACATAAAGATAATTTTTTTTTTAATCACAGACATACTTTACATTTCTGGCCAAAATTTCTGCTCTAACCATTGCTTATCAGCGTGTAAACATCGTAGGTAATGTCCTCGATTGTATTTTCAAACGAAGTGGCCAAAATCTCATTGCAAATGTCTACCGGAAGTGATATTTGAATACTAAAATACGAAACAAAAGAAGTCGGATTTTTTTTTCCGGATTGGTCTTCGCAATACCAACTTTTTATTTTATTAAAAATACAATAAAATTAGCAATGCGGCTACCTCAAACTGGATGCGCGCGGGCCTGAGAACCAGAATTTCAATTTTATATGGCCTTAGTGGGGGACATGAAAACTGTATAGATAAGCTTATTGTATTGTGTGATGAGTATATATTGTATCCATTTGATTTAATTATTGAGGGGTACACGGTAACACCACAATCCACATATGGTTTCTTTGATGTCTGCTTCATAAATTGCTAAACATTATACAGTGATCCATTGATAAGTGAATCAAAGAATCTAATTTCACTAAATTTGTAATTTTTTTTCATACACACAGTTTTTTAGGGGAGAGGGAGAGTTGGAGATTGTTGTACAATGATCATACAAAAAGATATTGAGGAATTCCTTGTTTTCTGCTGAATGCAATTTTTTTACTTATTGTCGGACTGATTGATAAAGATACTATGTTATTTTTCCTTGTTTTTTTTCTTCAATCATAAAAATAGTTTGACTATATTCAAAATGAAGATGCTTAAGAAAGAGTAGGATACCTGCTTAATTTTTTTCATGAGGAATATATGCCAGATATTTTGTCTACAGTACTTCTGAGACCTTTCTCTCAATTGAATTATATATTTCCCCAGCTATACAATCACTGAGATTTCATATACAGTGTATGTATAAGTAATGAAAATAAACATAGGATGTATAAAATCTAAATTTATACCCCATCCAAAGGAGAGAGGGAATACAGTTTTACTCGTGTGTGCCAGTCCGTCTGTCTGTCCAAAACAAATTTTTGGTTGCAGTTTTCTCAGCAACTACTCATCACAGATGCTTGAAAGTTTAGCACATTCTTTGCTGATGCATGCCTTTTGGTGGTATTTCATTTTTCTATGAATCGGATGTCAACTTCCTATTGGTCTGTGCATCTGCCTGTAACTGTAACTTCAGTTTATTGATATAATATTGCATATTCACATCAGAGCAGGGGTTTGATTGGTAAGCATTGGCTCACAGACTTCTTGTTAGATGTGCATGAAATAGAAACAGGGAAGTCGGATTGTATTGTTACAAAAATATACACAAGTGATGGATGAAATATCATATCAACAAAATGAAGTCCTAAACAAAGTAAAGGTTTTCATTACATGTACATGTGTACGTGTATTTGGATTCTTGTATCATATCTGGTAAACTAAAATTTTTTTTTTATGTTTTAATAAATGTTAATGATGAAATTTATTATAAGATAACCAGGTATCAAATCAGAGACTTTGCATCACTTGTCAGAAGCTGTAACTTTTGAAGTACCTTCAATGTCAATACACAGTCTAAATCTTGTATAGCTTTTAATGTCCCAAAAATTGTAAATAGTATTGTTAACCTTATTTTAATAATTTTAAAAGTTAACAGAATTTTACACACACAGTGCACAAGACACAGACAATTTTTTTGTATGATTAAATTATTCTTTAAAAATTACTGTTTAAATAAATTTATATAATTATTTACTTTGAAGTTGCAATTTTGATATTGATATACACATGTATGCAACATATTTTTAAATCATTCTATAATATTACACATAGTTAATTAATTAAAACATATATTTAAAATTGTCTCAATAAAATATCTAAAACATTATATAAAATAAATATTATTTTTTAAGTATATTGGTCTATTTACAGATGTTTTATGAGCTTTTATTCATTCAATACTTCTCAATATTCTCAGTTGGATCCGCCCGCGTTAGTGGTATAGATAAAAAAGAAACTAATTTTTAAAAAATCATCAAAAAAAAAAAATGTAAATGAGTGTTTTTATGCTTAAACCTTCTTTTGTTTTGATTTTCACAAATATTTTATGCTTAAATTGTAAAAGATGATAAATGGCATCGAAACATAAACACTCTATCTCCGCACGTTTTTTATAAAAAAAAAATAAACAAATTTTAAATTCAATGCCTCGGACCTCATATTCTGGGTTACACTCGTTCACTGGAACTCGTGAAGAGGTAACGGAATCTCGCTTGGCTTGTGGAGGTTCCGGGATGTTTCAATTCAGCTTCTCTTTTATCTTATATAATTCCTTATAAATTTGTGGACCAGAGCGGCCGCCATGGTTGGGGAGTGGAGATGTTACCCAACCTGTATGGAATACAACCAAGGCAGTCAAGATTCAGCTTTCCACTCTTTATTAAATAAAACAATCTATTTGTAATCTTTATGATTACAATAAATAATTTTACACAAAATACTAAACAATTTACTAAACATTATTAGTCTTAATATAAAAAAAAGTTATCTGTAAATAAATTAATCCATGTGAAAACTTTTAATAATTTAACAAAAACCGCGCAAGTTTAGAAATTTATCTCACCTGTATGAAATACAACCAAGGCAGTCAAGATTCAGCTTTCCACTGAAATCTTGTCTATCCTGGCCGTTCATTTCATACCAGGTTTACGTCTGTAGATTTCCATATCCATATTTGTAACTCGTTCGAAAGAAGAAAGGGCTCTAAGAGCAAAAATCCGCCTCAAGTTAGAAATAATTGAAACATTCTGAAATAATACCTTAAGGTTTGTAAATGATGAAACAATTTATATTATAGCGTTATCTTTTCTAGTTTTCTTCCTTTTGTCGTTTAAATATGGCATTGTTTTCTGAATAAATGATATGACGTCGACGTTATTATACCTATAACGTCATGGGTTGACGTTACCATAAATCTGGAGGTCGCACATTTAGCATTGATTTAAATAGGGTTTTTATTAAAATTTATTTTAAAGTAGCAATTAGAATCGTAAAATATAATTTTTACGAAAATTAACACACGTACATAAAAGGAATAGAATCGATCCAACAGGACTCTAATTTTAAAAATTGGGAAACATTACTGTGAGTTTTCAAGACGTTTTGCAAGTGCAATACTTCCTTTGTTTTTCTAAAAATGAGAAATGTTTTTTTTTTACAATTAGGAGATCATTTACTTCAAAATGGATGTAATTTATTGTACAAAATTATTCTTCATCATTCGCATTTTCACTTTCGCTTTCATCTACGGTCAGTGGCTTTGGAATATCCTGTGCATCAAGTAGGTATTTGCTCCAATCTCGAACGATCTCAAAAGTACTCTCACTAAAACGTCCGATCCCAAGATACCATATAAGGGAAGTAACATGGCAACAGGTCCCAACAACACGGGTACCTACTTTACATTGACAGTACCAGCTAACAACTTGAACTTCACTATACTGCACCCAAACTTTGTAGCCTTTCGACGACACATGCCTTGACTGTATTTTGGCGCAAAGTAGGTCTGGTTCGTGGTTGCATACCAGAACGTCAAAACTTCCGTCACTGTCCAAGTGCTCTCTTGTGTAGCAGGGTGCAAGCTTTAACTGGTACACACCAACTGTTAGATTTCGAATATCCTCTTCACTTAATTTCGGAAAGTCAGGCACAGAAGAGGCAGTGATTTTTTTCCCATTTGCATGATCGTTTGTCTAGACCCTCAGACTTGATTCTCTCATGAAGGACATTTTGCTGTTTGGAGAGATATAGCATTTTATATCCCAGTTGATCTTCCTTTTCAGAGTCCTTTGTGTTAATTTCTGGCCAGTACTTATTCATCAAGGCACAAACGATTTTTACGTAATCAGCAATATATGGTATCTGACTGTTTGGAAGAACCCGGTCAAGATATTTCCATTGTTTTATGCGGCCATTTACAGACTCGACGATCCATCGAATTTTCGTGACGAGTCTTGTAGTGTTGCTCTCTTCCACTGGCAATTGAGATTCACCTCTCTGGATAAATGACGGCATTTCGGTTCTTACACCAAGTTCATCCAATAATTCAACAGAGTCTCTAAAACCTCGATCAACGATAAGGACATCATCTTCATAAATCCACTGTTTAAAATCTTCAATATCGTTTCCAATTATGTGTTTCATAATTTGAGCATCACTATTTTTGCCATCACTGAAGTAGGGGCCAATCATACTAAGGATATATCCAGTCGTAGAAACAAAAACCATTGGTTTTACCAGTGGACGGTGTTTATGTAAACTGTAGCATTTGCGCTGGAATTTGAACTGTAAACTCTTCTGTATGTAGATGTAAGTTCCGTCGGCTACTAATATGGCTGGAAACTTGCCTTCTCCAAATAATGATTGCGCTATTGGTCTTGTATGCGATGATATAATATCTTCTCTGCTTATATGCCCAAAACCCAGATGTGATGGCACAAAATGTTGTGAAAGATATTTCCGCGCTGATGCAATGGCACGACGGATTGAGTCTCTGCCTAAATTGAATAATGTGCAGAGAATTTTATTTGGCATTCCTGTCTTTAGTTTAGTGAGAAATATGCCAATACACGTGCGGACACTGCGTGTACTCGAATCTCTCAGACTTCCTCCAACTTCTGAACAAAGTTCATCTAAGTTCTTTTTTGTTATCCCAGTCAAAGTTAAGATGTCTGAATCTGATAAAGACTTTACACTGTCAAAATCGATGCGTTTTTCACTTCCCCTTACAGCAATTTCTCGAATCTCTGTTATAAGTTCCATTAGATCTGAGCGATTAAAATCAGATGTGGTTCGAGACTGGGAAATCTGTTCTGCTGCATGAGCGTGGAAAAGATTTTCGGATAGATGACCTGGGCAACATCTAGCTCCAATGGGCAATACAATAAGTTTTTCCAAAAACAGGTTATATCTAGCATTTTTAGGTACGACGACTAGCTTTGGACCACGACGCTTGCAAACAGCACACTGAGAATGACTCCCTTCCACTGAAGGTATTGGGAGTGTGATGCTTGGAGGTGACTTTGGTATTTTCTTAGCTTTCTTGGTGGATGGTATGTACTCTGTGTCTAGATCTGTGTCCGGAATACGGTTCTGTTTAGCAAAGTCCTTTTGTGAATCCCCAGCAGCTGCATGGATTTCTCGGGAACAGCGGAGTCGACATTTATTACAGATGACACTCCCAGTAGAAAATATCTTGGAGGATTCTATTAGGAAACGTTGTTGGAGAAATTTCCGAAGTCCTTTATTTTTGGATCCAGTAAGTGGTCGTCTATCTCGGACCTTTGGTCTAGACGAACATAGGACACACGAGTAGAACCTTGGTGAGGACATTCTGAAAGAAAAAAAAATATTTATTTTTAAATAGTGTTCATATTAAATTGGGAAACATATTAAATGACTAAAAAAAAAATCCTTTTCCCTAATACAATATCAATTTAATTTAATTATTAATGCATTAAATTGCAACTTGTATTAGATAAATAAAGTAAATGTTATACTTCCTAAAATAGGGACATTTAAACAAAAAACTATGAAACAGAAAAAATCTTTATGTAAAAAAAAAATTAAAAAAAAATTGAATAGCCCGAACCGGATTCGAACTCAAGCCTCCCTATCCCTTCAGAAGAGGCGTCCGTGCAAATAATCGATGGTAACCATCGACGCTTACAATTATAATGTGTAAAACTTGAACAGTAAAAAAAAAAAAAAAAACATTCCCTCGTATGTTTGAGTAGCATACGACACATCTATTTTGTCTGAAATTTAGTTTCATTCCATTCTGTCTTAAAATATCATATTTTCTCATGAAATGTGATATCTAACGTTAAGTTGTCTGAATCAGTGAATGCTTTGAAAATGCAAGTTAGGCCTGTAGATATCGAATACGCAACCTTTACCGGTTAAAATGGAATTAAAGTCTAATAAAGAATTCTATCCCAGAAAATTTAAGATTTTAGATTGTAATCATATATTAAGATATATATATAAATATATATAACTCATATTATTGTCTAAATATGCCATTTTTTTCTAACACGGACATTTATGTTAGACCTATTGCATTTCTTTCCGATTTTACAGAATGTAAACAAAGCTTGTGACATCGGCCTACTGTTATACTGAATTCTTAAAATATTTTTTTAAAAAAAAATAATGAAGACAAACCTGATCCCCTTCTGATTTCTGTTGTCCAGATATTTTCTCAGGTCATGTTGAGGCAATTCTTGGATCTTTTGTGGTCAACATGTTACTAATGACGCACTTGCGTAAAATCTGTCTGTCATGTACAGTACGTTTCTAAATTTCGGCCGATTTTTATATTCAGGAATATATTCACAAAATATATTGTTTACGGTTATAGTTATTATACGCCGTTCATGCTGTGAATTTAACACGATTACCGGTACAATTAATATCCGATACGTTTTTTTCCCATGCACATTCATGTATCACTTGTGTGTGTCCCGTACTTTTATACGGAAGAAAGAAAGGTCGGAATATCTTAGATGCTGAATACTGACAAGAATAAAAAAAAAAAACCAAACAATAAAATACACTATTGAACTGATTTTTTCTTTTATCTTATCTATTTTCATTAGTTTTTTATCTTGTAAAAGTGATAAAAAGGCTTCAATCTTCTCTACTTTCTTAATGTCTGAACGATTCTCATCCGGAATCTAAAATTTATATTTTCATAGCTTTGTTTCTTTAAAAAAATTACACCCCTCCACAAGCATGTGCCAAAAAGATATTTTGCTATAAAACAATTGAAGTTTTGAAGAACAACATATGCAAAGAAGGATTTGGCACATGACTGTGGAGGTTATGAATTTCTAAAAAATGTTCCAGGAAAAATGACTTTTTAAGCCATTTTCAGCAAACGAGACGTTTCTATGACAATGAAGTGACGTCATAAAACGTGCAATTTCTATAATTTAGCATATTTTCTTGAAGTACTAACACAGATGAATTTTTAAGACATAACAAAAGTTGTAGTGTAACTTTTAATTTTCTAGGAAACATTGAGGCTAATCTAGGCTCTTAATGCCCTTAATTACTTCGTTGCAATAATTACTTATTATTTTGATTTGAATTTTAATTACTAGTATTCTGACCTTGGGTACTTTTTAAACTTTTAATGCACTTTTAAAATAATTGCCGATCTTTTGCATAATCTTTAAATATTGTTTTCCGTAGTTAATTTATCCAAATATTTGACCTCTGGTCACTTCAATGTTATTGGTCGCTCCTTCCTCCTAACCAGATGCCTTTCCTAATAAACGATTCATTTCTTGGAACTAGCCGGGTTAAAGTTCAATTCTTATTTGTTTACATATCTTACTGCTTCTGTATGATCGCGCCCACGTGTGCTATCTCCGCCACGTTAATTACGCTGAGCTGACCAGTACAAGTTTATCGCATATGTTTTTAATTTTAGTGCAATTTCTGTTATGATAAATTCCCCCTTCTGTCGAAAATCTTGTCCCCAAGATTTGTTTAAAGAGTTTATGATTTGGAATAATTTGACTTGCTGTAAAATCTACCTAGAACCGAAAGTTCAATAATTCTATTTATTTGATATTTTTGCGCCGACTTAAACTTTAATTACAAATTTATTAAAAATTACCTTTCAGATGGCTTTTACAAAGGAAATACCTAAACATATTTTACTGCATATTATATAATTTGAATTCAAACACAAAGGTACATGTATATAATTAAATACACTTTCTAACAAAATTACAATAGATGAAAACACAAAACGAAAAACACTATGTACAATTTTCTTGGTTGCTTTTTTCTCTGGGCAGTGGTGGCATTTTGTTTTGCAGAAAAACACAGTAGTGACGAAAAAAATGTTACAAAGCTCGATTCACAAAAACAAAATTAATGCTTTGACAATTCATGGAACATAATCATTCTCATTGTATGGATTAAGACACTTTTCACAAAAATATCATTTGGTTGTTACATGTAAATGTATTCTCTGTTCACATTTGACAAAAATAATTTCCATAGTGCCGCATGATAAACACTTTTATTACAAGACATTATCCCTGTAAAATACATACATATAGTCCTATATTTGACGCATACTCGATCTTTCTGCTTTGAAAAAAAATCTTTAAAAGTTAAGTCATTATTTTTTTATGAAAGGATAAATGATTCTCGAGCTATTCGGAAGAATGTAAAATATCTAGGTACATAACCTTCCACTACGATCATTTTCCCTTCAAAATATATATTTCTCTCCAAACCCCTTGTTTGGTAGACTATTATAAAGTCCCGACTTAACTTTTAACATCCATAATGGTATAAGGGTTTCCCTTTGCTATAATTAAAGGCCCTTAAAATTCCCATTTATTGGATTTATTTCTGTGAAACTTGTTTAACGTACACAAATGGTCAACGGGGTCCCCTTATATGGTTCAAGACCCATCCCATTAGATTTATTCTCTTGATTTGTATCATACATTCAACCTGACGAGTACTTTTTATTTTGCAAGCATTTTTTTTTATATTTCTTCATAAGCGTCAACAATTGTTATATCAGGTAAATTATAAAACATTGCCCATGTAAAAAAATAATTTCAACAACATGACAATATTCTAAAAACCATCGTCGTAAAAAAAAATCTTGCATAACAAAGGTAGGCATTTTTAAAAATATATATATAATTTCCTACCTGTACTGTCATTTTTTTCAAAGTCTTATTCATAGGACACAAAAAACTGTCCAACAACTGGATAATGCTCTTAGAATCGGAAACAAGGGCTTCGGCACGGAACCACTGTAGTTATCCAAATGTATAATATTTTTGTGTTTCTGGTCACCCAAGGACGGGTTGGTAGTAGTTACCATGTCCTGTTTGCACAATTAGTATTCCGTTAATTTGTTTTTAGTTCGTTTCGTCTGTTTTATTATCACGGTCGGCAAAGGTTTGTCAAAACGTGTTAGTCCTATAACTGCTCCTACCCAGAGAGTGTTAATATTTTGTAGGTCTCTTGGCCTCGTAGATCGTTTGACGGCTCTGGTCAAAGTCTCGCCTACTCGAGTCCTCTGTCCGAAAATCCAGCGGGATCGTGCACTAATCCTCGTCTGGTGGGTTGACTTAGAGAACTGTCAAAGGCTTTCCCTCTTTCTGAATCTGACCCCATTTCTCCACCATATTTTATAAAAAAAAAAAACAATTTAAATTCAATTTTTCGGATTTCATATTCTGGGTTACACTCGTTCACTGGAACTCGTGAAGAGGTAACGGAATCTCGCTTGGCTTGTGGAGGTTCCGGGATGTTTCAATTCAGCTTCTCTTTTATCTTATATAATTCCTTGTAAATTTGTGGACCAGAGCGGCCGCCATGGTTGGGGAGTGGAGATGTTACCCAACCTGTATGAAATACAACCAAGGCAGTCAAGATTCAGCTTTCCACTCTTTATTAAATAAAACAATCTATTTGTAATCTTTATGATTACAATAAATAATTTTACACAAAATACTAAACAATTTACTAAACATTATTAGTCTTAATATAAAAAAAAAGTTATCTGTAAATAAATTAAGCCATGTGAAAACTTCTAATAATTTAACAAAAACCGCGCAAGTTTAGAAATTTATCTCACCTGTATGAAATACAACCAAGGCAGTCAAGATTCAGCTTTCCACTGAAATCTTGTCTATCCTGGCCGTTCATTTCATACCAGGTTTACGTCTGTAGATTTCCATATCCATATTTGTAACTCGTTCGAAATTTGCAATAATTACTTATTATTTTGATTTGAATTTTAATTACTAGTATTCTGACCTTGGGTACTTTTTAAACTTTTAATGCACTTTTAAAATAATTGCCGATCTTTTGCATAATCTTTAAATATTGTTTTCCGTAGTTAATTTATCCAAATATTTGACCTCTGGTCACTTCAATGTTATTGGTCGCTCCTTCCTCCTAACCAGATGCCTTTCCTAATAAACGATTCATTTCTTGGAACTAGCCGGGTTAAAGTTCAATTCTTATTTGTTTACATATCTTACTGCTTCTGTATGATCGCGCCCACGTGTGCTATCTCCGCCACGTTAATTACGCTGAGCTGACCAGTACAAGTTTATCGCATATGTTTTTAATTTTAGTGCAATTTCTGTTATGATACGTTTTACATGATGCATGTTGTAATATTGCAGTTCATTTAAGGTAAATAAACACTTATTATTAAAGAAAATATTCTTTTTTAGAATAAAATATGTTGCTTACAATACGTATACAGTCAGTTTCAAATGACAATGACTGTGAAGCGATCGCTAGACGAAAATTGATGCGGTGCTTCTGCATCAGCTGCCATTGTTTACGTTAGCTACGTTAGCTACGCCATCCATGATGGCGGCTAATAACCTTGAAAGGGTCTATTGATTACCAAACTCCACGGAATTTGGGATGCACGTTAAATTGAAAGTGTGTGTGTTTGGGGGGGGGGGGGGGGGACGGTTTCCGACGCCTGTGCCACAATTTCAAATAAACTGTCGGTGTACATTGTTATTTTTCATTACGAAAAAAAAATCCGTATTGCCTGGAACTGTGAAATATACTAATTAGGTTGGTAAATAATTAAAATTACTGAGACTTGTACATGTAGCATGCGTGGTATGTTTCTACTTGCTATAAGGGAAACTGCCCAATTACGTATGCATATTATGACTGCCACCCCATTCCCAACTAAAATGCTATTCAATTTGATTTTTGTTAAAAATAGACACCCCCACCCCCTATAATTTTGTAAAAGAAATAAATAGAGCTGAAAAACAATTTAATACCTTTTATTAAACTTTACTACCCCAAATTGGGTATCAATGTTATACCCCTCCACCAACCAAGACGCGTTGCCCTTTGCATTTTGTAAAAAAAAATTGGATCTACAACAACACTCCACTCCTTATTTTGTCAAAAAGTCAAAAGTAAGGAAATTGATCCTTATGTTGCGGGTTTGAATCCCTTTGTGGGACGTGAAGACTGATCCTTCGAATGAGACCGTGTAAACCAAGGGCCAATGTCCCAATAGATGCTGGTACAAAAGGATCTCGCACTGCTCAATGGTCGACAGTGCCTATTATGAGAAAAAATGGGCAACTCTTCACAGGCAAGCCTTCATATGAGCAAAATATTCATGAGAGGGACATTAAAGAAGATACTTTGTACTATCAATCTTTGACATGTTTAACGTCCCTCTAGAGAATTTGTCTCTCATGAGATATTTTCATTACCAGAGATGTTCCTGCCGCGAGGGGATGCTCCGCTTAGCGGTGCCCTTGTTGTCTCTCTTTCAATATTACAGAATGTACATACACTATTTTCTGACAGCTTGACTTTATGGAGAAAGGAGTTGGTAGCAATATAATTCATCAGTAATCGATATTGAAAATAAATTATTGTTATGCCCCGCCATGAATATGGCTGGGGCATATAGTGTTTGTCATGTCCGTCTTTCCGTCCTTCCGTCACACTTTGCATTTAACTCTGTTCAAAGCTCATTTTCAAAGAAACTTTACAAGATAATTATTTTCATCAAACTTCATAGGCTGATAGATATTGATGAGAGCTGAGCAACTGCATCACCATTCTTTGACTTTGACCTTTCTTTTGACCTTGACCTCACTTTTCTTAAATTAGTGTTAAACTCAGTTTTAAAGATCTATACCATTGATTCAAGATATTTTTATCAAATTTCATATGTTGATACAGTGTACATACTGATGAGAGCTATTCAATTGCATCAATATTTTTGACTTTTCCTTTGACCTCACTCTACCTAAATTAGTTTCAAACTTTAAATGCTAATAGATACTGATGAGAGCTTTTCATTTGCATCAACATTTTGATATTGATCTTTCATTTGACCTTGGCCTCACTTTTAACAAATTGTGATTAAGTTAGTTTTAAAGAAACCATTCATTATATTATTTTTTCAAGTTTCATATGCTGATACATAATGATGAGAGCTTTCAACTGCATTGACATCTTTGACATTGGTCCTTCCTTTGACCTAAGACCTCATTTTTCTTCAATTGGTGTTAAAACTTCATATGCTGATGCATACTGATGTAACCAGTTCAACTGCATCACTTTTCAAGATATTCTGAAATTTCAAACAGTTACACAAATTCAAATTTTCATCTTGCATTACTGATATACCCTTGGCGGGGCATTCATGTCCTATGTACATATTTCTAGTTGTCTCTTTTGTGAATGATGATGCATTTACAAAGAAGAATTTCCATTCTTTTTCAGAGATTGACTCATCTAGTAAAGTTTCCCACTGAAAATTCTTTTTATGGGCCCAGATCTGAGGTGCATGTTGCTTTTGCTGTCTGATGGCAACTTTAACCTCTGCCTTAACTTTTGAACCATGAGAGAGACTTCATATTTAATATGCATACTCCAATGATTAACTTCTTTCAAAAGACACCAATGTCAATGACTTGTGACCTTGACTGTGACCTATATGCTAAAATAGCTAACTGTATACAGGAAAATTTTCCCTCCGTTTAAGTTTCCCCCCTTTCGCCCCAGTCTTGCGTGGGCGAATTTAAAATGGGGCGAATTCATAGTAAACTGTATATCTTAAACATAAATATTTTTGGGCGAATTTAAAATGGGCCAAATTTGTTTTCAGTTGTGAAAGGGCAAAAATAATAGGGGCGAAAATAACCCTGTATACAGTAGTTGAACTTTCGCTTTACCTTTTAAATCATTAAAGATAGAGACATCATATTTTGGATGCCTTCTCCACTAATTAAGCTCTTTTGAATGACACCAAGGTCAATTACCTTGTGACCTCTACTCTGACTTAAATGCTACAAATACCATTTTGATCTTTCGCAATACATTTTGTGACCTTGACTGTGACCTACACGCTAAAAATAACTTTTTCGAATTTGTTGTCACCGTGCGCAAAGTGTTTCACAAACAAATCTTGTTTTGAAGTAGTTATAATATTTGAATTTTTGTAGAATTTTATGTTACATATACATAGAAAAGCCAAAAAAATATATTTAAAATTAAATCATTTTTATTTCAGTACGTTGTGATAGAGGGAAGATAGAATTTAAAAAATGGACATGGCTCTATATTACTGCATTAGAGATCAATCCAGGTTTACTCATAATTTGAAGAAAAATAGTCAAGCATCATTTGGAGCTACGTATGTCACCGCCTTAACAATATGCCGGCTTATATAACCAACCAAGCACAGTGACCAGTTGTACCTATGATGTTGGAAGAGATCCTGAAAAACCTTCCAGTACACTCATCACTACCTGAAAAGAAATAAAAATTCAAATGACTTGTATCAACACTTTTGTACTTCATCTGGCTTGTATTTTCAGTTATCATTAGCCTTTAGCTTCCTTCAAACAAAAATGCATAAGTACTAACTTGCAGGTGTAAAATGTTTGAAGCAGTTTGCTTGTCCCAGAGGAAATTCTCTACCATGCCAATCAGCAGTGGCATGAGCAGTTGATTGATGTCACAGTTCCACCGGCAAAGTATTTGTAGCTGAATGGTGCCATATAAAACACTTTTAACAAGAACCTGGAAACATCCTAGAAGTGAGCATCTACAAGAAATTAAGTGAATGCTTTCTTAAATGTTAACAATGTTATAAAATGCTTGTCAGTACATCCTATATAAATACAACAAATTACACATGTAACAACCAAATACACAAAAATTAAACTTCCTTTAATTTGTTCTTGATGTTTATTTATAGTGTATTAAAATAAGCATCCAATATTTGTCTTGTTATACTGAAGGATTGTTAAGAAAATGTCGTTTGTTGAAACAAATGTGCAAACAAGTTACATTCTGCACAGTTAGCAATTTTTGTGGAGAACCTATCAACATATATTTTCAATCGCTGGGATGTAATGTTAGGCAGAGAGTAGGAGAATTATACTTGTTAACAAATAATTTTTACCGATCAAATTTCAAATTGATAATTTAATAAGAAAGCAATATGACAAAAACTTGCATTATGGTCCATTGATTTTATCACCATGGTGTGTGAGCTTTTGTGATACTGAATTAGTAAGTTTGAAATATTGAAGTAAAGAAAAGAAAATTTTCCTGTACCTGATTTAAAATGAGTCCCAGCATCAACTACTTGGAAGTTGCCACACTCTTCATGATTATAAGAATTATTGGATATGCCTCAGTAACAGATCTATACTGGTACATGTAAATGAATGACACATTCAGTCGAAGCATTGTCCCTTTTTCAGTACCTCCTGGATCCCTGTAAAATATATGATGACAAAAGTAGATAAACTGTTCAATCATTGAATGATGTATGTCCTATGGACCCAGTGTGGGCCTGTTGGGAGACACGTACCATTTGATTGTTCTAGTCATGTGTCTGTCTCTTAATTGTAAGAGAACTAGTATTTGGGAAGGGGGTCATAAGGCTTTACAGTTAATATATTGATTGTACATGTGTGTTGTTTAACGTCCTACAGTTAAAATTGAAAATGAGTATATACATCCCTGTGTATATGAAAGAAGTAATGTTGGACGTCTTTATTTCTGGATTATTATTTAACAAATTAAAGAAGAACATTCTATCAGGATTATGTTTAATCGACGAAGTAATCAACCCTGTATTCCCGTGATTGATCAATTTGGTTACATATGCATTTCCTATATGTTTTATTGACTGCATTCTAAGACAATATCTCGACCTTATGATCAGCTGTCCCGTGAACTAAATCCAGGCACAAAGCAACAAAGGGGAGAGGGAGGGCGCCTTGTCCCAATCTAATTAAAATTAGATCTTTGATCCGCTCCAGTTTGATCGCTACTAGCGATCAAACTGAGCGGATCAAAGATCTAATTTTAATTAGATTGGCCTTGCCCCCCTTTTTTTCCCAAACAATACCTCTACTATTGAGCACAGGTACTTGGGTCGTGGTTTATAAATATTTATAATGTACCTTATTGATATGTAAAAAAAGAACATGTACTTTTATTTATCAATAAGGTACATTATAAATATTTATAAACCACGACCCAAGTACCTGTGCTACTGAGGATGTGCATTGAATAGTTTGTTGCCCCCCACCCCACTTCTTACCACAGTATAGAATAAAGGTATAGTGATATCATAGAAATGTAGTATTTTATGCAATAAAATTTGGAACTTTAAGGAATATTTGGTCTTGAAAAAAGTTGGCCACTAACCCACCTCCCCCCCCCCTCCCCCTCCCGAAATAGGATTATCGAGTTTGGTCAACTTTTACTTGTAAATATAAAAAACAAATCTCTCTGGTTGCCCCCCCCCCCTTTCAAAAACGATGCTATTTGCCTGAAATCAATATATGGGACCAATCTTTTGGGGAACGTTTTAGTTTGAAAACACTTACTTTTTTGCTTTAAAATGCTCGTGACCCAGTTGGAATAGCTTGTATATACTGTATGTACGTCATTTACTAAATCAATAACGTTGTTTACCTGTATCAATCAATCCATTTTCTCCTCTTCTTTTCAATAATCAAAAACAAATGAATTGACAAACATTACTTCCTGTTTCGCTCTCGTTTTCAACGGGAGAATTAATTATGTTGTTTTAAGGGTGATTTGAAAAGAGATATCTATTTCATTAAAAGAGTTATCTCTTTAGCTTCGAAAGATATCTCTTTATGAAAATCTATAGAGATATCTCTAGATCTCTAACTATGAGGGATATCTCTTTTAAACTTGTTAAAGAGATATCTCTCTTACTTTACGAGATATCTCTCTAGCTGGAAGAGATATCTCTCTAGCTTATAAAGATATCTCTCTTACAAAAAGAGATATCTCTCTTTCAAAAATAGATATCTCTTTTGTTTAAAGGGATATCTCTATTAGTGAAAAAGATATCTCTATAGGCTAAAGAGATATCTCTATAGGCTAGAGAGATATCTCTCAAATTGAAAGAAAAAATTATTTTTCGAATAAATAGTAAAAGGGCTTGCCATATAAATTGAATAATATAATTTAAAGATAATATCCAGGTCTAACAAGGCTGATACAGGCATAGTTTAAAATGGATGTCTTAAAAGATCTATTAAAATTCTGGTGTGGCTTTCCTCCTACAATGGAGATCTACAATATGTAGTACCTCTTTCATTGAATCAGCTGTTATAACATATCATGGCCTTGAATGAAGTAGCTCTTTATGGTCATTAAGATGTGGCTGAGCCTAAAATAAATAAGCACAATAAGCACCGCTTCTACTGTATTGACAAAAACATAGTGTTTACTGTTATAACATTGTTTATCCTGGAACTTTGTAAAATACATATATAATGCTAAAACATTTATTCAAATAAATTAAATTATTCTGTGTAAATTACATAATTTATTTTTGATTACTATATTTCCAATGGACCACGTATGTACCAGTAACCTTGTAATCATTGTTAGATGATGTTTTGTATAATTTTTTTTTTCATTAAAGACATCTTTATTCCAATTTCTTTTCTGTTTACTTTTAACCTGTTTATTATTATTATGAAATTTCTAAATGACAAATCAAACTATGAATGATAGTTTGCATAATGAAAAATAAATTACAAACCTGATCATATTTCCTGTTTTGATTGTCAGCTAGATTTTCATCCTCTTCATATTGTTTGAGCATTTAACTTCATGAGACAGGCTGGTGCATAGAACTAAAAGTTCAAATTGAATTAAGTTTATTTGAGCAGATAATCAAAAGATATATCATTCATACTAATCTTGTTTTAATATAGTTTTTTTTAAAACTACTATATGTTTGTTAAAATTAATTTAAGCATCCCTAACCCATTTTTTAAATCAAAATTTATATTAACATTTGCTTAAACATTAATCATGTAATTGTTATTACTATACATGTACATACTAGTAAACACTGACTGTACAATACTCAGCTGATACTCACAGGTTCCAGGAAGAACAAGTCCTCTAGCCTCTGTGTATTTTGAGTACACCATTGACTGGGATCAGTCTGTTGGATTTCTGCTTCTCATGGAATGAATTATGATTCACCAGATTTTTTAAAAATAAGGAATGGCAATTGACACCAAATTTCTTCTTCGTACATCACTCAGTCACTGTTTTGTTTCAACGGCAGAGAAAAATGTGTGGAACAAATTTCCCTATTTTCAGAACTGGACGGCAAAATACCACAAACAATGTTCATTGACTGGAATCAGTCTGTTGGATTTCTGCTTCTCATGGAATGAATTATGATTCACCAGATTTTTTAAAAATAAGGAATGGCAATTGACACCAAATTTCTTCTTCGTACATCACTCAGTCACTGTTTTGTTTCAACGGCAGAGAAAAATGTGTGGAACAAATTTCCCTATTTTCAGAACTGGACGGCAAAATACCACAAAGAATGTTCATTGACTGGGATCAGTCTGTTGGATTTCTGCTTCTCATTGAATGAATTATGATTCACCAGATTTTTTAAAAATAAGGAATGGCAATTGACACCAAATTTCTTCTTCGTACATCACTCAGTCACTGTTTTGTTTCAACGGCAGAGAAAAATGTGTGGAACAAATTTCCCTATTTTCAGAACTGGACGGCAAAATACCACATTCTGTTAGTATTATGTCCTTTTTATTCAATCATATCAACTGATTCAAATTAAATACTTCTTCTGACAAGTTGAATTTGTAGTAAAAACGAAGCAGCAAACCAATCTGAAAGTCTTCTGCTGGCAAAAAAAAACATTCCTTTTTTTTCACAGGAAACATAAATGAGTTACACGAAGGGAAATAACTCCTGATAAAATTTAGCACTTCTCTCTTGAAAAACAGCAAATTTACAAGGCTTTATTTTCTTTATTTTAAATAACACACCTCCAATTTTTTGAAGATTAACTTATATATCTATAATCTTTTTACAGGATTAGTTTTGTTGAATTACGTCGCTGCGTTTATGAGTTTCAGCCACATACATTATAAAGGAAATAATAGCAAATGTGACAAAAGTGACTTGCTGGTTTCCATGGAAACAGCAGCATCCCGTCATTTTGCATATACCAGTATACTTGACTAGAAGTATGTATTAATTTGCCAAAGTTTCATTAAAATCGGTGACTATGGCTTTCCATCAAATTTTGGTGCTTAAAGAGAATGGCTCTTAAGGTTTTAAAATAATATGATATTTCAAAGCTTGAAAACCTTAAAGCCTATTGGTCTTGAGCCAGTATATTTTAGACTTGGGATATTGCTTTGTAGAGATCTTTAAAATGTTGCTTATTAAATTCGCTAAAGCTTGACGTCTATAAATATTAATTGAAGATAATATAATTTTTTGAATGTTTATACTGATATCAATAGTAGGAAAACAATGAGATTGGTTAAGATTTATACCATAAACTGTCTATTCCTGAGATGTTACTATACCCTCCATCTGAGGACTACTCCTTGAAATATCTGAGCTACTCCCTAGGACTAATACCTTATGCCGTCGCGTCAAATCTTTTTTTTAGTACATTCCCTTCAGGCAGGAGTAACCAGTAATTATCATGATTATGTTAGCCAATACATTAACATGCCCTGAAACTTATGGAGCAGTCTTATTCTTGTATGACTTTTCATGCCAGAAATTATCCAAGATCCATTTCTATCAAATTATTGTTTAACCATAAATATTCTTTTCAATCTGTACACTAATTTTGTGCCTCCTTTGCACATGAGTTCCAGAATAAAGTGTTTTTACAATTTTATTTGAGAATAAAGAGACTTAGGCCTCAAAATTTATATATGTTATATGGCCTTAAAGCTTGCAAGTGTGCAATTTCCAATTGCCCACTTCCAATTCCAACTCCCAGGGTTTTTTGAAGACTGTTTATGAATACTAATAATATTAACTATTCAATCTATCCAGAAGGCAGAGAATTCAAGGAATATGGTCATAATGAATTTAGCAATATCACACTTGAATTCTTGTCAAACTGATAATTCTCCGAAAAAACTGTCAGTGTTTTTTTTTTATTTTAATGTATTTCTTTTTCTTGGTATTGAGTCAGAAATGCCTTGTTTTAAAAAAATTGTCTTAGTCTGTAACTGCTAATTGTCTTTAACTATATTGTTTAAAAAAACAAGAAATTTACAAATCATAGATGTTAACAACTAAATTGTCTAATCTGCTGTTTTTCTTTCTGTGTGTTGTTTTCTATTGCTTGCTGCTTGTTTTCCTAGTAATAAAATTAAACATTCATGTTAGTGTCATTGTTGATGATGGGCTTGGTGACAATTCACAGTTTTTGGGAATAAAATTCACTGGTCAAGTGGACCAGTGTTTTAGTTAAATTCAATCAGCAATTTCTTTTTCCACCCATTTGGAAAGGGTCCGGTACCACAGGTCAATTTGGAAAATTAATTACCTATTACTGTTTGTTTTATGGAATAAACATTGAATTACTTATTGTTTTTCTATATCAACATCCCTTGTTTTGAAATTTCACACTGTAATTCCAGAAAGGTCCATTTTTTGATCGGCCCCTTGGACACAAAGTTTTATAACAAAACAAATTCAACAAGCATTCTGAGAGTATTGTATAAGCAATACATGTCCCCTACCGGGTTCCCCTTTTTATCAGGATGTCATTTTTTAATGTGCAAAAGTCATGACCAAGGTTAAACTGAAAGATTTTCAATTTGTAAATGCCTTAAAATCTAATAAAATAATATGCATTAAGACGACAATTCACCTCATTTATCCATCGTCTTTTCCTCGCTTCATATTTTTGTCGACAATCGGAAGTTAGCGCATTCGAACCCGATCTTAATTAAGCGATTATGAAAAAAAAAATATTCAAAATGCCATAATTCTGTCAAAAATCACTGAAGCAAAACGACATTCAAACTTGATCTGTATCTCATTAAGATACACTCACAGCTCAAAATCTGCAAGCGTTTAGGGAAAAAAGTGCGTAAAACCAAGTGGAAATGAAAAATATTCAAAATGCCATAATTCTGTCAAAAATCAATGAAGCGAAACGAAATTCAAACTTGATTTGTAACTCATTAAGATACACTCATGTACCAAAATTCAGCTCAATATCAGCAAGCGTTTAGAAAAAAAGTGCGGAAAACCAAGTGGGACAGACTGACGGGGACAGACAGACGGACGGACGCAGAGGACACCTATAGCCCCCCCCCCCCCCGGTTTCACCGGTAGGGGACTAATTACATATAGAGCTAGATATGTCCTAAAGGTACAGATGTCCCTGATGCATGAGACATAACATCAATACTGATTATTACATTTTTTATTACATGTCCATAAATTTTAAAAAAATAAATACCTGTCAATTAAAGCCATATATGGCGTATGTACAGTGAAAATTATTAGATTAAAATTATAAGAACTTATTATTTGTATCATTACTTTATATAAAGATAGAACTTTTCCGTAAATTACAAAATCTAAGTCAATTGCGTTGTAAAGATATCACGATTTAATTAGGACTCTCGGAATTTTCTCCGACTCTGAAGAAAATATTAAAGATTTAAATTACACATAACAGAGGTGATAAAATCGTATTTTTAGTTGAAATGAGGTGTTCTCCGTGTTCAGAATTGTATGAAAAGTTTTAATTTAAATGTTTTAACTTTTTTCTTTACTTAATTTTGTATTTTTCAAAAATATTTTTCTTGATCAGTTACGCCATATATGGCTTTAAGTGGAGCTATCATTATAATTAAGGTAGATTAAAATTTTGGCAGATGTTGACAGGAATTGAATATAAAGGGGGTGAATGGAAAAAAGATCATGAAACTTTTAAAACAAAAACAAGGGATTTTCAACAAACTTGCCATAAAGTATTCTTTGGTTAATGGAATCAAAGTTTATTCAAATGAAGGGCCAAGTCCTCTTCCAAAGGAAACATTCATTTCACGTAATTAAGTTTTAACACAATGTTAACATATTTTCACTTCACATAATGAACTTTGGTCTTCAAGTTATCAAGTGCCGACATAATGGAAGAATGTGTTCACTTCATGTAATGCAGCATTGACATGATGAAAAGATATTTTTACATTACCCCATAAAAAATGATATAACGTAAAGATACATGTATGTTCACATCACGTACTGATAGATTGACATAATGAATGCATAGTTTTATGCTATAAGGCAATGCTGGCGTTCCATAGTTTTGTATTGAAACAAAATCACAGGGGCGAAAAATTGACATAATTAATTTTATAGAACAACAATTTAGAGTCATGTAATTTCTGAAATCTATAATCTGACCGTTTTTAACCTATTTACCTGGTACATGTCAAAACATCTTTAATTCATGGAAAGATTTTGTCATAATAAATACATATGTTAAAATATGAAAACCCTAGCACCAACTCTAATTAAACAGTAAAGTTTGGTAATTTTTTGTAAAAGTGAGTCAAACTAAAAGTCAGTCAAATGGTCAAATGTATTGGTGTCCAAAGAAATACACTGACAACCAAACAAAAGTTATGGGCAAGGTTAAAGTTCTAGCGGAAAAACTTTAATAGACAGCTAGCTATACAGACGGACGAACTGTGCAAATACTATATACCCACGAATATTGTATAACGGGGCATAAAAAGAGATTTTATAATTTCTCTGCAAAATAGATATTTTAAAATATTTTTGGAAAAGACAAAATATATTTATTTATTTTGTATTGCAGTAATAGAACGTCTATCGATATCACGTATTTTTGTTTTAAGTTATTCTCAAAGATAATTCTATGTGTATTTTCAAATAGAAACACAACGCCACTCGTAAAAAAAACATGTATACATGTACATATATAGAGAAGTATGTTCTTAGTGTATTTAAATCAGGGTTTAGACATAAGCTTAACGTTATCTTTACCGGACAAAGTCCTTTCTAGGCCCAAAGTCCAAAAATCTCGATGCCAGAAAAAAGATGAAATGGTAAAGTGTCACCTGTCTGCAACAATTTCTTTATGCCACTCTTCCTACAGAAAAATGTTTTTAAAATCAAACAAAAACTATACGGGATATGTTGCTTTTGAAAAACAACTGAACAAGAAACTGAAATAAGAAGCATCGCTAAATCTTTTTGGTTCCTAGCTAGACTTGTAGAATTTGAAATGCAGCATTCAAAGATAAAAGATGCATGTATGAAGCATTACTTTCCTGCAAATACAGTACATGAAGGAAAAATTGGTAATAAAACAAGTGATTGACACACATAATTTTATGATATTCGAATAACATGCACGTTGTTCATTGAATTGTAACTCTAAATGCATGTAACAAAAACTGCAAACTTTTACATGTAGATCACATCTATTTGTTCAAATACAACATTAATTCATTTCTGCTCTTACCAAAACTCTGAAAAAAAAACTGTATATACAATGTTACAAAGAGTCTCCTCTTCTAAGAATGATGGATGTAACATAATGATTAAAAGTTACATAGAGCCTTAATATTAAAACTTTCAATTTGTTAATACAAATGGTCCTCTGAACCTGCAGAAAAGTGTGTTGGGGTTTCCCTGGGTAATTTTTCCAGTGTTAAAACGGAGGAGTCGGATTGACTGAGTCTTGATTCGTGTACTTTTTGATATTTTCTTTGTTGCTCTGCTGACCTAAAAGGCGGGAAATTTAAAAATACGTAATTATATGGACATTTTCCATTGCTTAAATCATCTTATATAGGATATTTCCAATTAATGAAAAATATTTTAACAAATAACAATGTATATAGCATTTGTTGAAAATGGGCGTTTTACTTCTGTGATTTTTAATTCAATCTTTCAAGGTTATATTTTGAAACCAACGATGTAAGTAATTAATTTTCTTTAATACTACCTGCATTACATATATATAGTGGTTGATATAATAACTTTCTGTTTCTACGAATGAAAAACCTGGCCGAGATTATCAATATGGCCGCTATAGCGGCCATGCACCCCTATGACGCAGTATAATGCCGTATTTTGTATGGTCCTCTCTCTTACTGAAAAAAACAAAAAGTAAACACAAACACATTTTAATAGATGTATTTCGAATAACAGCATTAAAATATTTTTGTTTAATAATTAATCATTCTTTCAAATTTAGCAGTATAGTTTCATGAAAGGAATCTAATCTCTAGCCGAAGGTCCAGTTTCGATAACATTAGAATCTGAATTTTTAGAACCTGAAAATGAGTAAAAGAAAGAAGTGTTTGGATTAATATAAAGTTAGTAAGAGGGCTGTTTATAAATAATGTCCTCGGTGCTCGGAAAGAAGCAAAAGACGCTTTCCAATGGTCTTGAAGAATGTGTAGATTTATTTTTGTGACTATTTCATTGATTACCGGATGTCGTCACAAGTGGATTCGAATTTTTGTTTGTCCCTGCTGTTGTTGATTTTGTTGTCGAAGTTGTAGTCAAGAGTCTTGGATTGCATTCAATTTCAAAAACCCCTTTGCTGGTTAGACAAAGAATGTATTCATTTCATAAAATTCTTGATTTCAATTAAGGTACATGTAAATCATGCAAGAGGAATATGTAAACTAAGAATCAATAGTATTAAGATATATTCCATTCGAAAAGAAAGCAGAAATGAGAAAGATCTAATTAATAAAATTCAATTGTAAAATACTAGTATGTAAACTTTACAATTAACGAATATTCAAACGCTTTGAGGCTCTTTCCCGTTTTCTGAGTATGATATATTGATAGAATTTTCGGATGAAGAATATAATTTTTCAAGTTCTCCATAAATGGTGTCATTTTCACATTCAATGCTTGTCATATTGATGTTATCACTAATTTTCAGTATATTTGTTGCATTTGTACAGTCCCCAGTGAGGTTTTCATTAACAGGGTACTGTGGCTGCAATCTCAAGTCAACGGCAAATACGTTGATTGTAGAACTCTCTGATGATATGATCATGCATTCACAGGTATTTTTAATGTTTAAATGTTGTTCCCTGTGGAGATACAATCCTCCATTTGTTGAGGTCATTTTCTGATAGTCACATAAGTTCTTGATTTCTGAAACTGAAAAACACAAGTTAAAATTATCAAAATAATTTAAGTTTCCACGAAATAATTATTGTTGATGTGCAACGAATCTGTATGACTTCTTGTATATGTATGGTACGTTTATATGCACCGAACGTGTTTTTCATTTGTAAATTTGGATTTTTTTTTAAAGTATTCATCTTCACAGGAATTCTTTAACGGATTCAAAGAAGGAATTTTTTCATGCTTAAACTCGATTGATTGAAGGTGATTATAAGTTGTAATAGACAAATAAATTTATATGTCATACAATTACCTTTAGTACAATCAAACACCACCTGAACATAGTCAGAGTAGGGGTAAGTGCGATTTCCACATTCCATTCGGATCCAGGGTGTGGCTGTATTTTGTGAAATACCATTTTGTCCAGACAAGCGAGAAAAATATAAATATTTATTGGCATAATCAGTCACATCTTTTAAACAGTCAGTATACTCATGTGAACAACACGTATTATTGTTATGCTGCTCATTCTGAGGACAGTTTTCGCCATTTAATTTTGCTCCATACTGTAGTTGTTTGATGACAATAACCTCTGAGGAGTTGGGACATATAGAATTCATGTAGTTGTTTCCATGGCATTTGGATGTAATGTGCTCACATAGTGCTGAAAATGAAGAAATAACATATGGTCGAAATTCTATGATTAAAATAATTGTTGTAAACTGTTTTATATTCAAACAATATTAATAATACAGTGGTGGATCCAGAGGGGGGGGGGGGTGTCGGGGGTTGCAACCCGCTCCCCCCTTTGGATTTGCAAAAAGAAAGAGAAATAAGAAAGTTCCAATTTTTTGTCGTGATTTTACTACAGAAAATGTAAGGTGAAAGGCTAATTTAATGTAATATAAAAAGAAATTCGGTTATTTAACTAAATGTATGTGTACAAAGTACGTTTTAACTTTTTTCGCCTTCATCCCTCCCCCCTTTTGAAAAAAAAAACCTCACCCTCCCCTCTTTCATTTTATTATGATAAAGTGATCGATCAGTAAAATCTTAAAACAATACAGATATATGTATGTCGATTGAGGATAAAAACGGATCTCTGAAAATTGCAGAGGCAGAGTCAGGGTCTCAGAACAATGGATCATTCGATTGATTAACAACTCGTTTTATATCTTTTATAGGAAGCATGTTTTCAGCATTGTTAAGAATATTATATATGGTTAAATTTCTTGACACCACTTCAATGTATACCATTGCAAATCATGTCATTAAATAGAAAATAGGTCAGGTTAATTGTAGTTTCAATTTTGATTTATGTTAGCAAATGAAAGTGGATTATCAAAAAGCTTCAACCCCCTACAAAAGTTAAGAGGTATTAAACCTTGGTTTGGAGTACAGTAATAAAAATGAATATATCAGTAATAAAATTGTCATTGAAAATGTGTACTTCTCAAAATTACTTTACATATCTTTTAGATTCATTTATTCTTCTACATAAGATGAAAGTAGTAACCTTCTTACTTTTTATCAAAATAACATGACCTTCTTGTACCTATTTAGTTTTTTAAAAAATATGAAGATGCTAAAAGTTAATTAATTTGGAATGTTTTATTTCTGATCGATCTTATAAATTCGGTGTACAACTCAGATAAAACTGGATAATTATTTTGACAGGGGTATAATTTTGCCCTTTTTAGCTCACCTGAGCTGAAAGCTCAAGTGAGCTTTTCTGATTACCCGTCGTCTGTCCGTCCGTCCGTCCGTCTGTAAACTTTTCAAATTTTCAACTTCTTCTCAAGAACCACTGGGCCAATTTTAACAAAACTTGGTACAAAGCATTTTTGGGTAAAGGGGATCTTAAATTGTTAAAATCGAGGGCCAAGACCCCTTCCAAGGGGAGATAATCAAGAAAATACGAAATTAGGGTGGGGTACTTAAAAAATCTTCTTCTCAAGAACCACTGGGCCAGAAAAAGCTGAAATTTATGTGGAAACATCCTGGGGTAGTGAAGAAGGATATGGAAATAACGAACAGTATTCAATCTCAACGTCCATTAAACAAATATACAAAATAAGAGCAGAGCAAACACGGACCTTCGAAACATCAGAGGTGGGATCAGGTGCCATGGAGGAGTGAGCATCCCCTGCTGACCGGTCACACCCGCCGCGTGCTCGTTGTCATAATCAGGAAATAAAGGAAAAAATCCGTGGTCAATTCAGTGTATAAGTATTGGTCTAACAATTGGTATGAAAAACGTCAGTCAGCATTACATTCAATGATAAATTGTATTTGCTGACAAGGTCATTGTATCGACCATAGAATTTACGAAATGATGACTTTAAACGAGACTGTTGTTTTTCTTGTTTCATCAACTTGCTTGTAAATAATTTACCTCGTTTAAGAAATTGCTCATACGTAGAGCATGCTCTAGCGTATCGAATCAACTGAGATAGATAAACTCCGTTTACAGGTGACAATGGTATATTGCTGCATAAGTAAAGGAAGTTGACGATAGAAAAGTTAAAGCCATCACGTTTATCATATAGCTTGGTTGTTAGATTACCATTTGTGTCTTTTTCAAGTAAAATATCCAAGTATGAAGCAGAAGTGTCGGACTCTGTGGTATCGTTTATCTCAAGCTCACCAGGATATATCGTGTCGACGTAGGAATGGAAATTATCATTATTAATTGACAATACGTCGTCGATATATCTAAATTTCGAGTTGAAGGCCACAACAAGTGGTTTTTTTTCTTTTCACGTAAAAGATTTTGCATAAATTCTGCTTCATATGAATATAAAAATAAGGGAGAGCAATTTGTACCCATGGGGATTCCAATAGATTGTTGGAATACCTGGTCTCCAAAAACCACATAGATATTGTCAATCAGAAACTCAAGCATCTTCTTGATGTCAACTCCAGAGTACTTATGTGTGCAATCAGAATCTGTTTTAACAAAATGATTCTTCAAATGACTAATGACGAGGTAAGTAAACTTACGAGTTCCATTTTTGTTGAAGAAGCAGCTGTCAATGATATCAAAGAGCCTGGATTTTAATTTGTCGTGTGGAATTGTTGTGTATAAAGTTGAAAAGTCGTAAGTTTTTATGCTGTTGATTTTTGTAAAGTCTTGTAATTTCAAATTGTCCAAAAGTTCTTTAGAATTTTTAAGTATCCACATCTGATTTACACCACTTCTTGAATATATAGTTGTACAGTACTCTTGAAGTTTTTCCTTCACTACTGTCAATATTTTAGTGAGAAGTAAGGAAAGAGGCTTGGTTGAACATTTACTGGAACCTGCAATGTATCTTTGTTTGTAAGGATTCTTATGAAGTTTTGGAATCCAATATATATAAGGTAGTTCAAATTCATTTTGGCTCTGTGGAATATTAAAAGTATTCAAAACTGACAGGTGATTTTGAAGAATTTCTTCCTTAGAAAGAGTAGTATATGTATAAGTAGGATTACCACTTGTAGAATTAAATCCAAGTTCTTCTAAAATGCAATTTATATAATGAGCCTTACAAACGAAGACAATGTTGTTACCTGCTTTGTCGGCAGGAACCAGTACGTACTGATCGTGTAATCTATCTAATTCTTTTTTCACTTCTGGTTTATTGAACACAGAAGGATAGATGGTTTCATTTTGCCCCTCAATCTTTTAATACGTGACTTTAACATGGATCTGATACATTTAATCCATTCTGACAAGGTGTCAATGTCTTCTTTTTCATATCTAGCCCATCGTCTGGCGTAATTTTCAACAGAATCCATAATATTTATGAAATTCCGACGCCAGTTGAAGGATCGGGGTTCCCTATATTTAGGACCTTTTAAAATAAGTGATCTAAGGTCCTCATTACGAACTATATTTACGTCACCTGTAATAACGTGTCCAGCAGGACTATAGTTATAGGGCGAAGAAGAACATGAACACGAAAGGGAATTATTTTTCAGATAGTCGATATCCAGGCCATGTAAAGTAGTTTTGTAATTGAAAAGCTTGGATGCAATGGTTGATGTATATTTGTAGGAAATACAAGGCGCAGTCTTAAATTGTTAAAATCATGATCCCTGGGGGTAGGGCGGGGCCACAATAGGGAATTCAAGTTTTACATAGAAATATATAGAACAAATCTTTAAAAATCTTCTTCTCAAGAACCACTGGGCCAGGAAAGCTGAAACTTATGTGGAAGCATCCTTGGGTAGTATAGATATGAAATTGATAAAATCATGACCCCCAGGGGTAGGGTATGGCCACAATAGGGAATCCAAATTTTACATAGAAATATATAGAACAAATCTTTTAAAACATTTCTTCTCAAGAACCACTTGGCCAGGAAAGCTGAAACTAAAGTGAAAGCATCCTTGGGTAGTGTAGATATTAAATTGTTAAAATCATGACGCCCGAGGTTAGGGCGGGGCCACAATAGGGAATCCAAATATTACTTAGAAATATATAGAACAAATCTTTAAAAATCTTCTTCTCAAGAAGCACTGGGCCAGGAAAGCTGAAATTTATGTGGAAGCAATCTTGGGTAGTATAGATATTAAATTCTTAAAATCATGACCCCCGAGGTTAGGCCGGGCCACGATAGGGAATCCAAGTTTTACATAGAAATATATAGAACAAATCTTTGAAAATCTTCTTCTCAAGAACCACTCGGCCAGTAAAGCTGAAACTTATGTGGGAGCATACTTTAGTAGTGTTAATATTAAATTGTTAAAATCATGACCCACGGGGATAGGGTGGGGCCACAATAGGGAATCCAAGTTTTACATAGAGTTTATTGAACAACTCTTTGAAAATCTTCTTTTCAAGAACCACTAGGCCAGGAAAGCTGAAACTTATGTGGAAGCATCCTTGAGTAGTGTAGATTTTTAAATTGTTAAAATCATGACCCTCGGGTGTAGGGCGGGGCCACAATGGGGAATCCAAGTTTTACATAGAAATATATGTAGAACAAATCTTTTAAAAAGATCTGCATCACCCAAGTTACTCAGGTGAGCGATGTGGCCCATGGGCCTCTTGTTTGAGAAATAACAAAGATTTAGCGGTCCTTCGGATGAGATCATATAAACCAACGTCCATAGTCACAATAGGTGTTGGCACAAAAAGATACCTCTTTGGTACATGTCCCTAAGAGCCGTGTATAGATCAATATTTGTAGCAAGTGATGGCATCTCCATTTGAGAGAAAGATTCTTGAGAGGGACGTTCAACAACAAACAATCAAAGATATTCTAAAATAGAAACCGTATACATGTATATGTGTAATACTTTTTGTCTACAAGTTTTCAAAAAGAATCCATTATGTAGTCGGTACTCTGTTTAATACTGGAATCTAGATCGATTGTATATGTCATGATACACCGTTATACTTGAAATACAAATAACTATTCTTACCAGAGCTAAGAAAACTGGCAACCAGTATGAAGTAAATCTCCATTTCCTTTTCATTGTAAACACAGCATAGACTTTGACGCTTTCAATTTACACATATTTTTCTTTGGTGACCCACATGATCTTTACAATTGCATGCACAAGAATTACTAATGATAAAAGTTCTGATTACACGAGGGTCAACGTACACTTACTGCATATTTATTGAATATAGATATCCTATCAATGTTACCTGGCGAGTTCTAATCATGGCTACCAAGCGAGGTGTTTTATCTTTATAACAGCTTACACTGGGTCAAAAACAAACATTTACTTTAACCTTGTTTTTGCTTCCTCGTTCAGACAAATGCCTTTTCTGAAGATATTTTAAAACCATACCATGATACTGTACTTACAGAGACCACTACAGATATATCAAATGAACAATTTCTAAAAAAAAAAGATGAGTTACTTACTACATAATATTAAAATATAAAATATGAAATTAACAACTGTCTCATTTAGGAGCTACGAATGTTGACCTAAGCTGAACAATCAAGGTTACTTAGTCAGGGTCTTTTTCGTGCCAGCACCTACTGCGACACTGTTCCTCGGTTAAATCGGTCATGACCAGTATCTTCATCCCTCAGCGGAATTGCATCATTTCGTAAGTTCTATATGACCGATACAATCACTTTGACAATAAATACAATCATCTAATCATTACATCAAATGCTGACGGATGTTTTTCATGTTCATTATTAAGACATTATTGTACAATTGTCAAATATTTTGTCGTTATCATAACAGGGATCACACGGCGAGTGGAACTTGATGACAAGGGAATGCTTACTCCACCATTGCACCTGATTCCACCTATGATGTTTCAGAGGGTTGTATGTGCCCTGATCCAAAATTGGTATTGTTTAATGAACATGGCAGCTTTTATGTTTCCAATATATTTCAAGAGCTTTATTCTTCAAAGTTTTAACAAAGGTTTAGTAAAAATTTCTTGTAGGTACGTTATAGTCAAGTTGTATAGAGACTGAAGTTTTCCATACAAAATGTTTGGCAATTATTTATAATTATCCACTAAAAATTACATTCCTTATTTATTCCATATTTATTTTACTTCCAAAGCATATGGAAAGCGATTATTTAAAAAAAAAAACATTATACCAACAGGGGGTCAAAAATTCAAGTATGTATATGTCACTCAAATGCAAATATAGGCATTACATAAGGATTAAAAATACTTGGCCAAACGTGGTCTTAAGGACTGCGAAGTTAAATATTTCCGCTTATTTATGTTCTGCCACTGAAGATCATAAATAGAGAAGTCAGTATCTGTCATTTATCTATCGTGTTAGGTACGAGGGCTGTTCAATATATAATGTCATCAGCTCGATGACATACAACATAGCAATCATATGACATACGAGGGCTGTTCAATATATAATGTCCTGAACTGTATGACAATACAATACAAATATCATATGACATTAAGGAGGAACAGGACCTTAAGCTAAAAAAATTCCTGTCAATGAATTGTTCTCGTATTTTTCATATTATTAATTTAATATGTACTTAACATTTTAAACCGGTCCTATCATGAGATTTCTAGACTAAGTAAAAAGATATCGCCTCACAAATATTGCCCTGTATAGTGTCTGTATGGAGTTTCAATACTTCATGTTTACGGGTCCGTTACAGAGTCCGTAATGCGAATTTTTGCGCACAAATACTAAATATGTTTGATAACGCTATATACGCAAATATTTTAGAATATTCATAGTGTTTGAATTATCTGAAAGCATTTGTTTTAATTTAACATAGTATTTGGGTGGGATATTTCTTAATTTTTCAAGGCAGCTTCAACAACAAAAACCTCATTTTAGAAAAAATTCTGTCAATAAATATTTCTTAATTTGCGATTGAATATCAGTCCTTCATCGTAATTATAAACTGCATAAATATTGAAGGGTGAAGCTTAACTCAATATCGCACAGGACATCGTTGAATTAGACATATGCATGATAAAAACGCTTCACGTTTTCATTTTCCGAGTGCGGGAAATCAATTGTGACGTCACACGAAAACAAAGGCACGCAAAATTATCTAAATAGAGAGAATCTCTGCTACTAAACATGAAAAAAGCAGTGAGGGATCTTTATCGTACCAACGCCTGCCGCTGACACGGGGCCTTGGGTTTTAAGGTCTCATCCGAAGGACCCGCAACTTTCATGACTTCAAAGTGCCGAGCGAATGGTGAAGGAACAGGTGCTACCCATTTTTATCGACTGGGTCAGTCGCGCCAAGATACGAACTCACGACCTCCAGATCACGGAGCGAGCGTGAATGGTAAAGAAGAAGTAAACTAGAGAGAAAATAAAAGCTTCATTAAAGCTGCTGTAAAACTTGTTAAAATTCCAAAGAAATATTCACTGAAATGTGTGACATTTAGAGCAACCAATGCCTGTTTTATAGACAAATGAGCAAGGTGATTTCAAGGATAATTTTTTTTTATAATGGGCACCAAATATGGGTACTATCCTCGCTAACGAAAAAATATAAACTTATGTACTGTTTGCCACATTTAAAAAACTAATATTTGATGATGTATGATTGATTTTAAGACACAAAGCATATTCAGTAGACATCATTTTTGGGATAGTTTACATTGTTTTTAAGAAACGTTTGACGGTGAAAAAGCTAAGGACTCAAAGATCACCCTATATTTTGAAAATTGAGTGAAAACGACAGCGAGAATGAATGTCTTAATAATTATTTTAAAACATCAGTAATTAAAGTTATCCACGTTTGTTATTTATTCAGACAGATAATGGAACATGAATCTATTGCTTAAAAGCCTCAGAACAATTTTTACCATACGATGTACTTGATAAAAGCAGCGAGGGTCTGACAAGAGCAAAGAAAGACAGAGTTATATGCAATATTCGGGTAGACGGTTTAATTTCCGGGTGAGGCTGGAACGCAATTTTGAGAATCCAAAAGATATATTAACTGAAATATGTGAAATTTACAGCAAATAGTGTCTGTCTTATACACGCATGAGCAGGTGAATTTCAATTAACAAAAGTGATATGTATATTGGGCATCAAAAATGGGTACCGTTCTTGGCGAAAAGGACATACAATTACAGATATATATTTGCGAAAATTCAACAAATAACCTCTATGGCACCTGATCCCACCTCTGATGTTTCGGGGGTCCGTGTTTGCTCTGCTCTTATTTTGTATATTTGTTTAATGGACGTTGAGATTGAATACTGTTCGTTATTTCCATATTCTTTCTAGTATGTTTGATTGAATTTAAGACAAATAGAAAAGATAGAAATTATTTTGGAGGTAGTTCACACTGTTTTAAGAAACATTTGATAATAAAAAAAGTTTAATACTCAAAGGTCACTCAGTGTTTTGAAAAATGTGTGAAAACGACAGCATGTAGGAATATCTGAACAATTATTTAAAACATCAAAATGTATTTATCCTCGTTTGTCTAAAATTCAAATAGATAATGAAACTTGAATCCAATTTTATCAACCCCTCAAAACAAAATTTACAATTTGCATTTGACGAACAGCAAGGACTTGAAAAGAACAAAGAATCGCAAGAGCGCAAAACAGTTCTATGTGCTACCGTATAAACAGAATTTTCAGCGAGGATTTTATTTTGGCATTATTAGCGAGGGTGCCAAGATCGCTAAAATTGAATATCGCTAAAATTTAATTACGCTCTATTTGTAATAGCTTCTATGTAGATATTTTTTTCAAATCGTTAACATTACATCTCTTTAACAATACAATACTACTTTTAAGGACAAATCGCTATATTATCGTCTCGCTAGAATTTCCACTTATACGGTATTTTCTTAAATATTACCGGTATAAGTCTTGTTGTTCAAATTCTTATTAGGGGAGAAAGTTTGGTTTCTAGAAGAATGTACAGGTAGAAAGTAATTATTTACCAAAAAATTGATAGGTTTATGAGAGGAGGAGCCATCAAATTTCTTCATGGCAGGGTCCAAACCCACAGGCCATGAAGAATAAAGGAGTTCTAGGGAGAAACAGAAAATTAATGTTTTGTTATACCAACAATATTTGCCAGAACCTTCAACTTTTGACTTGTTTCATTTCCCAAACTTAAAAAAACGCCTTTTAGAAAAAAAACTAGTATAGAAAATCATAGGATAGTTTGAATGGATTGAACAGCATAGGATCTGTCATATTCACGTATACGATGGGTCAAAGATAAATTAATGAAATGCCTTTCTTCAATTATCCCTCTTTTCCACCTATCTATCGTTGATGTTCCTGGTATACTCTACTAACTAGACAATGATTCCATAAATTCTTATTTTATAGTCAAATAAAATTGCAGATTTTATTTACAAATGTAGTCTAATAGTTTTAAATTACACAAGGCCCACGTGCCAATTTCAATTTCCACCCAAACGCAAAGATAGCTGCTCGAGATTTATTTGCACATTAGGCCTCTTTACATGTAGCTCCTGAAGTATCGATTGGAGAAATTTACATGCCAGAAGAATGATCAAGAAATCAAATAAACTTACTTTCAAGGAGTTATCACAGAGAAACCAAACAAATAGGGAAATATATAATAAGGTTCTTTCCATGTACTTAATCATGACAAGGGGCACACGGCAAGTGTGACAGGGGATGTTTACTCCTCAATGACACTTGATTCCAACATCGACGTTCCTTGTTATCAATTTTTAATGTTTAAATAAATATTTGATGAAATCTTATCTGTAAATTTCCTGATGGAAATGCAGAAAACGAAGTTTTTAAAGATATTTTGAGAAGAAAATAATTACGTAATTTAATTGACTGTTGACGTCACATAAAGATTACTGATACAGAGGAGCTGTATTAGAGTTACGATTAAATGTTTTACTCACTCGTAGTTTGTGTGAAAATTTTAAATCTCAAAATGATAATGTTTAATCTTTTCATTCTGTATTAAAATTTATCATTATCGTAAAATTATGATAACTTTATCTTTTTCATACAGTCATATTTTATCATTGTGTAAATTAATTCAATGATTTGCCTTCAAGTACTTTAACGTTGTCGCTAGATAAAGGGTTATGCCAGTAAGTACCTATTTAAACATTTTTTAATGATTAAGTTAGAAGCAAATTGCAGGGCATTGTTTTAAATTGAAAAATAATCACTGTGTTTTACAACACTGAAAATAAGGATCGGTATAGAAAGAAAAAAACCAGTTTTTGTTATATTTCTGAAGGAGAATAACAGTGTATGATATCTGGTCAGTATGATCTCAAAATCATCTAGAAAATTACATTGCTTTATTTTTCTAATAATTATAGGTGTTATTCTTACTATTTATCTTGTACTTTGCAATGGGAATACTTCTGAAACTAAATTATGGATTCCTTTTGTTGGAAGAACTTCTTTGGTTCTTAATAAAACAAAAGAGCAGCTGAAGATGAAAAACAAAATGGATCTTAAACAGTTAATTAATTTGTTTGACAAAGGACCCCTCTTTGATTCATCCTATTCACCTTTATATGAGAGAATTCCATCCAGCACAGAACCATCTTTTGACTATTTCTTAGGCGAAAGGAATGTACCCAATGTAAATTGTCGTCTTCTTTTTGAAAAAGACTTACAGGAGATTCAAAGACTCGACCAATTTAATAAAAGTGTCTCTAACAACATATCACTGTGTCAGCAAACGGAAGACTGTGACAAGTTTATACATAATAGAAAATATGTTGTTGACCCCCTGACCGAGGAAGAGAAACTTTTCTCCATAGCATACAGTATACTTGTATATGATAAACCAGAGCAATTTGAAATTCTTTTAAGAGCTATTTATCGACCTCAAAACTTCTACTGTATCCATGTCGACAGTAAGGCCTCACTGGAATTATTCGACGAATTTAAATGCGCAATCAAATGTTTTCCAAACGTTTTCCTGGCTTCACAGAGGATACCGGTCGAGTGGGGAAAGATGAGTGTGTTAACCCCAGAATTGGTCTGCCTGAAAGACCTCCTTCAGTTCTCTCGTTGGAAGTATTTCATTAATCTAACAGGACAAGAGTTTCCGCTTCGCACAAACTACGAGATAGTAAAAATACTAAAAATACTGAATGGCTCAAATGATGCCGAGGGCACATTAAAAAGGTATATGATAATATATACTCCTAAAGCTTGATATATTTTTTTCCATTTGAAACAATGTATTATACACCAAATCTAATATACGATTTATGATTGCCAAAATGTTTAATTTCTAATGTTAATAAGATTTAAATATTGTAACATTTTCTAGTATAAAATAATGGTATTCTTTAATTCAAAATTCTGTAAAATTTTCCCAGAAAGATGAGTTTTGTCATTTCATATTAGGGCAAACAAGGAAAGATGGAATATCAAAGAAAAACCACCACACAATATCAACCCCGTAAAAGGATCGATCCATGTAACTCTTAACAGACAATTTGTGGAATATGTTATCAGTAATCCCGTTGCGAAAGACTTCTTGAATTGGGTCAATAAAACAGATATTCCAGATGAAACTTATTTTGCATCATTAATACACAACCCCCACCTTGGGATACCTGGGAGTTTTAAAGGCAACTTATTGTAGTACTTATCAAAGAACTAACATTTCGTTCAATTGAAATTTGATTGTTTAGGCAGTGCTTGTTCAATTTTTTTTTTATTATCAACAAATTTCTTTCATCTCTATGAGTAAGATGTATTTTTATCTCTTATATAGGGGACATTGAGACTGACTTTGCAGTAAAGAAACCATTTTTGTCCCGCTTCAAAAACTGGGTAAATGCTCCAAATCCATTACCATGTCTGGGAAAATATGTCAGATCGATCTGTATTTTTGGACTTGGAGATCTTCCCCAACTGGCACGTCGTCCAGAGTTCTTCGCAAATAAGTTCCACATTGACTACAAGCCACATGTCATCCATTGCATGGATCAACTGATTTTTAATAGGACAAGAGATGAATTGTATAAAAATCTGAAATTTCGGACAACCTTTTATGAAAATATAGAGTCTATAAAAGATGTTGTGTAAATCTCAGTATTGTTTATGTTAAATAATATACAAACGATAACGTATTGTCAATTAAAAAATAGTAATTTCCATTCTTATGTCGATACAATATATTCCGGTGAGCTTGAGATTAAAGATACCACAGAGTCTGAAACATCTGTTTCATATTTAGATATTTAAAATATTTGAACAACTTAGCTCTATGGTTAACGAGATGATTTTAACTTTTTTATTGTCAACTTTCTTTATGCAGCAATATACCTTCATCACCTGCATACGGAGTTAATATATCACAGTTTTTTGATATGCAAGAGCATGCTCTACGTATGAACAATTTCTAAAACGAGGATAATCATTGACAAAGAAGTTGATGAAACAAGAATCTCAGTAGTTTCGTTTAAAGTCATAATTTATTAGGTTCTGTGTTCTATTCAAAGACCTTGTCAGAAAATATAATTTATCATTGAGTCAGATGCTGACTGACATTTTCCATATTATTTGTACTCAATTAGTATACCCCACTTGAAAAACGGGATGGTATATGGTTATCGGTATGTCCGTCCGTCTGTTACGCCTTGAGGTACATGTACCCGTCTCTTATCCGCAACACATCTCATACCACTGAATGAAATTTCATGAAACTTTCACACAATCTTTATCATATAATGCCATTGTGCACTTTCTATTTTACTTTTTGATCGACACATATTTTGGGTTTCCCAGAGCAAAACATAGACACTGCCATAATATTTATATGGGTGGCCGGGGTATCATTTAGTGAGCTCATTGCTCAAAGTACCTCTAGGTTATACACTGAGTTGTCGACTCATGATGACTCTCTTTAAATATTTAAATAAGTTTACTGTTTTGATGAATAATTGATTTTAAAAAGAAATTAATATATGGGTTATTTTGATTTTTACAAAGTTTAAGGATTATAAAAATATACTCTAAAAATAGTCAGCAATAATATTAGGCCATTTTTTTATCACTTGTTTTTCAATATTTTTTTTTTTTTTGAAAAAATAGGGTAGGTCGGTCGAAAAAAAGATAGTTGAAAAGTTGTCGTAGTAAACAGATTACGATAGAGTACTTAGAGTACACTAGTATTAAATATTTCAAAAACTTCTACATGCAATTTAACTCCTTTTTGTATGCCATTTTACTTAAGTTTAACATAATGACATATTTTAAATGTATTAAGATGTATGTTCTCCGTAGTTTATTAGCAATTTTAACTTTTGATTGATGTTGCGATGTATCGTTATGATCCTGATCTAATTTAATTTCAAATGGTTCCCTGTCAATGTGAAAAATATTTACGTAATTCAATCAATTTAATTTTTGATAAATTAAATTTAGTTGATCGCAACTACCATAATGGCAATTAAAATTAATTTAAAAAGTTTAATTCTCACTTGTAAGGCATGTGAATCATATATAAATAGCAGTTTTGATAGAAATTTCAAATGAAAATAAATTCAAATCATCATAATATGGTTTCTCAGCTGGCATTTAACTTCATGACCATTACTGTTTTCCATTAACAGAAGAATGGAGGAAATTCGGAATGGAGAAAAAAGATCATTTTTGGAAGTAAACAAGTCAAGAAGAATTGCAAAATAGATATGATTGTGGATATTTAATAAGAATAGAAGCATACGGTATTAAAAATTTTCATGTATTAAAATTTTTCATTTATTGAAGATATCACATTAGATCAGAGAACAAGCCCTCACCCCAGACGGTCACATGGACCGGTAGTACAATATGTACAGTGAATTACATCTAAGGAATTTCGATTTTTTAATCAATTTTACCAGCAGGACAAATGGTTTTAGGAAACACTGTATTGATGACATGCTCCTTTCCATGATCGTCACCATTTTTGCAGCATTTGACAATTTTTCCCCAAAGTTTAGCTTCGTATTTTTCGGCGGTAATTTCAATTGTAAAAAAAAAAAACCTAACAAAAATTTTATTTTTTTTTTCAATTTCTGAAATTTTAGGTCGGCGATCTTGAAAAACAACTTATAAAAAAATGGCCTTACATCAGTTGAAGAAAGTCAAAATCAGTTATGGATGAATAATAGCAGATAATTGAATCGTTACATAGAACACACGGTCGGTGTGACTGGGGATGTTTACTACTTAATGAGACTTGATTCCAATATCTGATTTTCAAAAATCCTTGTTAGCACAATTTTTATGCCCCCCTTCGAAGAAGGAAGGGCATATTGCTTTGCTGCTGTCCGTCGGTCTGTCGGTCCACTTAGTTTCCGTTCATTTCTTCACAAGCGTTGCACATACTGAAATGAATTTTGGTATACAGATGTATCAGATGAATACCTAGGCCAAGTTCTGTTTTGGGTACGATCGTGCCATTTTTTACAGAGTTATGCCCTTTGGACTTAGAAAAAATCCAATTATAATCTAAGCATTTGTCCTTAAGGAGATATGAGTGGACATGTATCCAGTTAAAGATAATTAATGAGCTTAGTGTGGGAAGTTGGGCATCTCTGATCATGTGTTGTCTTTATCTCCTGAGAATTCGATAACAGAAGGAAAGATCTCTGCTCTCTTATTCTCTTAATTGTAATTTATTGCTTGTCAAAACATTTACATGTATTTACCAGCCTTTTTATGTACCCCCCCCCCCCCTTCAAAGAAGGGAGGGCATATATTGCTTTGCTGCTGTCTGTTGGTCCATTTAAGTAAATAAAAAAAACTAAGTCTTTTTAATTTTAAATTTCATAATCCTAAAAATGTAAAAATATTGTTGTATCCTTCTTCAAAAAATGTTAAATTAAGTAAAAACTAATTTTTTCATATTCATATACTTTACAGCAATCTGTAACAAATGTTAATGTTTTGAGAGGAATTCAGTTTGTCCCATGGGCATAATTATCAAGCACTGGTCAAGAAGAAATTTGCAGGTCAAATCAGAGAGAAATTAATGAGTTTATTGTCAGGAGCTAATTGGTAGTCTAAAGCAAGAGCACCATCTTAATTAATCTCTTGGGAGTTGGGTAAAAAGAAATGGCCTCATAGTTGCTTGTGTTAATTAAGAGTTCTTGATGTTCAGATAAAGATCTTTCAATAGGAGTAGTGTAATTAAAACAAATTGATGTTTTAGTGTATGATTAAAACTAAATTTTATTGTATAATATAATGAAAACTAATTATGCCCTCCTTTGAAGGAGGGAGGGCATATTGCTTTGCTGCTATCTGTTGGTATGTTGGTCTGTCGGTCCACTTAGTTTCCAGTCATTTTCTTTGCAACCGTTGCACATACTGAAATGAATTTTGATATACAGATATATCACATGAAAATCTATATCAACTTCAGTTTTGGGTATGATCGCACCATTTTTTACAGAGTTATGTTCCTTAGACTTAGAAAAATTCCTGTTATTTGCAGTTTCTGTTCATTTTCTTTGCAACTGTTGCACATACTGAAATGAAATTAAGCATACAGATTTATCATAGATATCTAGGTCAAGTTCTGTTTTGGGTACGATTGCACCATTTTTGACACAGTTATGCCCCTTGGACTTTGAAGAAATTTCAAATTATTTGCAGTTCCTTTCATTTTCTTTGCAGAGGTTGCACATACTGAAATGAAATTTGGTATACAAATGTATCAGATAAATATTTTGGTCAAGTTATGTTTTGTGTATGATCGTACCATTTTTGACAGAGTTATGCTTTTTGGACTTGTAAAAATTCCACTTTGGGGAGAGGGGGGCATAAGTGTTTTACAAACATCTCTTGTTAATGTTTAAATTGATTTGTGATCAAATCACCGTATCGTATTTTTAAATTTCCTGATGGAAATGCAGAAGCAAATTTATAACTACAGTATTACAATTGACTGTTGACAACACTAAACAATTAAAGGTACTTGGACACAGATTTGAAGTTAATATTTTCTCCATAATATCATGAATTATGTATTCTAATAGCATTTCACTCAAAAATTGATTAAAAATCTTATTTTGTTGAAAAGATATTGAAATTTCAAAATTTTCGGCGGGTTTGATTGACATATCCTTGCACTCTCACCAATTTAACTTTATTCTTAATCCTTAGGAAAAATGGCATTCTCGTTCTGTATAAGTGAAAAATATTAATACTATAATCCAGAAAATTCAGAGTAGACACGTTCGAAAGCAAAACAAACACACAATATATGTCAGTCCGTGCAATTGTGGTAAGCAGACTGTGACGATTAAAAGCACCCGGTGAATTCTAAACATAAACAATAATAGAAAAAGGGTCCTGTTTACAAAAACTGTGTACATAACACGAGTGTGATCGATTTGCAAAACTCTGTACGCATCTCTTAGTTCGGAATGACGATACTTGTGAAGGTGTTTTGCTTTCTAACATTTCTACTCTAAATAAAATTATTTTTCTTGAGAAAAGTTTTCATATATCTCATTAAAACACATCAAAATCGCCACTTTTCCTTAGGATTAAGAAAAAGTTAAAATTTGTGAAAGTGCAAGGATGTGTCAATCAAACCCGCCAAAAAATTTTAAGTTCTAATAACTTTTAAATGAAATAAGATTTTAAATAATTTTTTGCATGAAATGCTATTAAAATATATAATTTGTGATATTATACAGAAAAAAATGAGAAAATATTAACTTCAAATCTGTGTCCAAGTACCTTTAATATGATACTAAGCACTGCTGGTAATCGAGAAAATCTTGTTTTCGGACACCAGCTACTATTGGCACCTGTGAAATATCTATTGATATGCATATTTTTTTATATAAGACATTTAAAATCACTTTCTATAAAGCACATTTATTTAAAAGTTAAGCGATTGGATAGTTTTATACTCCAAAATGCTCAATATCGAATTATTACATGTAAACGGCTATTTACTTCATGTTTTTGATGTACTCGCATTCGAATGATGTATTAAGTGCTACAGGACTGATTGGACAGCTAAATGTGTTAATTTAACATTAATTCTACGTTATTTAATGCCCCGGACAAAAACAGTGTGCTTTAAATGAATTATTTCCATGGAATTAGTCCATAACTAGCAAATTCATTTCGAAGGTGCTACAATTGGTTTCTGTATAATTTTGACACAGGCGACTTTTTATTTGTGTAAATGCGACAACTGGTTTACGTGTCTGAGACTGTTGATTTATGTTAATTAAAATTTAATGAATATTATGAAAATGATAAAAATTGCATGAGAAGAATAGTAGTTTTTGTAGTTTATAGACATTTCTGACTATTTCTTGAAGCAATACGAAATGTCTAATCAATTCTTCTTACGGATACTGTGTTTTTGGATATATATATATAACCATATATATATGATGGCATGCAGGCCCACGTTCTTGATGATGGTAACCAAACTGCTTCCTTTGAGGTCACAAATGGTGTCAAGCAAGGCTGTGTTCTTGCCCCTACGCTGTTCGAGATCAGCTTGATGTTCACAGCTATGCTGACAGACGCTTTTTCGGAGAATGATCCAGGCATTGACATCAGATACCATACAGATGGGGGAGTCTTCAATCCGCAACGTCTGAGAGCGAAGACCAAGGTCCATATTGAAAGGCTGAGAGACTTTATTTGCAGACGATTGCGCCCTAAATGCATCCACAGAGGCTGACATGCAAACAAGCTTGAACAGGTTTTCGGATGCTTGTGACAACTTTGGTTTGACAATAAGCACTAAGAAAACTGAAGTCATGTTCCAGCCGGCACCAAACCTCTCTTATACTGAGCCCAACATCTACATCAAATCTGAGCGCCTCAAACCTGTGGAAAAGTTTACATATCTTGGCTGCACACTATCCAGAAATGTCCATATTGATGATGAAGTTAACTCACGCATAGCTAAAGCAAGCTCTGCCTTTGGTCGCCTAAACAAAGCAGTATGGGGCCGACGAGGCATTACCACAACAACAAAGCTGAGTGTGTACAGAGCAGTTGTACTGACAACTTTACTTTATGCCTGTGAGACTTGGACGGTGTACTCAAGACACACCAGGAAACTAAACCATTTCCATACAGTTTGTCTCCGGAAAATATTGGGCATTAAATGGCAAGACAGGATCCCAGATACAGAGGTTCTTAACCGGGCAAATATGTACAGCATCGATACCATCCTACGTTCAAGTAAACTCCGATGGGCTGCATTGTAGAATGGACGACTCGCGCATCCCGAATCAGCTCCTATATGGCGAGTAAGTAAATGGTAAACGTTCCAGGGGTGGACAGAAAAAAGATACAAAGATTCCCAAAAGTGTCCATGAAGCTGTTCCATATAGAACCTACAAAATGGGAAAACCTAGCGCTTGATCGCAGTGCCTGGCGCTCAAGCGTGATGATGGGGCAAACCAGTATCAAAAAGAGATGAAGCAACTGGCTGAGCAAAAACGCACAAAGCGAAAGGAGAGAGCAGCCTCTGTTGACACTCCACTAGGACCCTCATGCCCAGTTTGTGGAAGGACGTTCCATGCAAAGATTGGACTTACCAGCCATCTTCGCATTCACAAAAACTAACAGACGAGATGTTATTATGGTCATCTTATATATATATATATATATATATATATATATATATATATATATATATATATATATATATATATATATATATATATATATATATATATATATATATACATATATATAACTTTACTTTAGAATAGATTGATATGGTTTAAATGAGCAAGATGATAACATCGAAAATTTTAAATCTATACCAGGTATACATATACAGGGTGTCCCAAAACATATGTTACACTTTTAATCACCTATAACTTTATCAAATTAATAGCATTCACAAAGATATTTTGTCAGCTTCTAAAGTATTACCATACATTTAATCTGACAAACATTCGAAAACTTTCTATTTAAGAGTCAGGTAATTATGATGTCCTAATGACGTCATCATATTTTGATATGGGACCTTCATGTGCAGAGCTGGTAGAAATTGTAAAATTTATTATCGGTCTAAAATTGCTACTTTAGTCATTAGTACCATAAGAAAACAACATCTTGTTATGAAAGTCCTCAACAGAATACTAATTTACATTGTGAAGGTATTTGAAGATAAACTGTTAGATTCCATGTTATATTTACAGCTTGGTAAATAAAAACTTCAGGAATTGTTTTCAAACAATTTCAATTCAATGGACGTCATTTAGAACATGTTGTTAAATGACATATGTTATTCTAAAGAAAAAATATTGATGATAAATAAGGAAACTGCGGCAACTGTATGTTTCACAAAAAATTTATAACAATTTTATTATATATTTTAAATTTCATTATTTTAACTTGAGGCATAAAATTTTTATAACAGTTTAAAAGTGTAACATATGTTTTGGGACACCCTGTATGATTGTTGTGATCAAGCGATCAAACTCTTTAAAGCAGTAAACGAATGCGCAATGGTGATATTTTCCTTGCAATTTATACTTATTCAAAGCACAATGGCTAGCATCCTCAGAATTGTGTTGCATGCAGTCTACATTCATCCAGTAACATCTCATGCTCTTAAACGTAGCATTCAAGTTGGGGTGTACTTTAACTCCCATTATTATTATGCATTTCAATTACTGTTCTCTTGTACATGTCGGTTATATTATATCAGTTACAGCTAATAAAAGTTTGACTGCAACTTCCCATCCCGAATTTGAGAAAATAGAACAATTCTACATTTTCTTGATTATTTGCTGAATGTCTATATATAAAAATATGTTACTATAGGTAGAAATGGAAAATATCCTTAAACGTTATTAATTCTTGTACATTTACGTTCAAGTTTTATAATACTTGTTGGTCACCTTCTGTAAACAACAAATAAAGGCTGTTGTCTGCACGTTGTACATGCCAAACGTGATATAAAAGCGCAAAATTCTACATTTTCTCGAGAATTTGCAGTATGTCTATTTTTAAACATGTGTTACTATAAAAAGAAATGGAAACCTCTGCTTCTCATTCTGTATTTCAGATAATGTAATCTTTTACTTCTTAGTCAGCATATGCCAGTAACAGTTAATAACAGCTAGTCTTCAATAGCTCATCCGTAATGTGAGAAAAGAGTATTTAACTACATTTTCATGATATTTTGTCGTACGTCTATTTTTAAACTGGTGTTTCTACGGAAATAATGCTTACAGAGCAAAGATTACATTAATTAAAAAGTGAGAGTTCTCACATATACTGTTAAAACATCTAGCAAGAATGTAAATACTTTTAAAAGTAGAACTCTATTTGCTCAATTACCACGGAGACATTAATTTGTGATTACCAATGCGAGGACGCATATTTTTCGAAGGCATGGATAATGTAATGAATAAAGAATAGTAAAGTGGATAGAAATAGGTTTCAAATCACCCAATCAAATCATATTATGTGCAGCCAATCAGAGTTGATATTTTAGCCAATCAAATCATTATAATTTATTAACCAATGAGTAGCAATTAGGCGTATGAGAAATAGTATAAATACAGGGATCAATCTTGTTTCGTTTACTTTTGGTGTAACTCTTTGTCGGAGTTAGGTGACCCGGGAAGGGTACCTGGGCTGTGTTGGGAAACAACAGAATTGTTAGTTAGACCACTCAGCCCAGGGACCCAGGTCCCTTGTGTCTTAGTGACTAGCTATGGTGTCTTGGTGACTTTAGCTTGTGTCTTACCAAAAGTCATGTCCTGTTGATATATGTAGCTATGGTGTCTTGGTGACTTTAGCTTGTGTTTGAGTGTCTTAAGATGTAATTGTGACTCAGTGACTTTTTTTAGGGTGTGTTTTAGGTAGTTGCAGACTGTGTTGGGAAACAATAGAATTGATTGTTAAACCACTCAGTCTGCAACTACAGTAATATATCTTCATATTTGATTATTTGCTTGATCGTTAGTGATTCAATTGTGGTTGATTCTTTTCTTATTATTCGTCGTCGTTAAGTTCATATTTGTTTGCTAATCATTTATCCAGATAAGACTGAGGAAAAAGTTTATATAGTGACATTCAGTCAGTTGTTCGCCTTTGTTATTGAAGTTTGTTTTAATTCGCTTTAAACGTAATTCTTCGGAAGGAAACCTAAGCGGACCTATTGATAACCCTTTGTACTTTGTAAAAACGTTAAATATACATGTAGATTATATTTGCCGCATTGGCATATTTATTTTTTAGTGCAATCTTTTTCCTGTATACTTACTGTTTTTATTTTTTTTTACAATTATTTGTTTATCTGTAAATCTTGGGGATCAATATATTGATATGTATTTGTGCGATCACCTTTTGATCTGATCCCCTATCATGTGATGTATATAGGAGTCTTTTTCTCGTCATTTTAATAAATGAAATTTTCATCTCAACAATGGTGTTGATTTTATATTATTATAACTCAGCAAAATAGAGCTTCGGAGAGATTGTGCAGCAAGAGTAAACATAAATACATAAAACCAAGAATTTCAGACACTGGAAGAATATGTTTAACACAAACAATTAAAACATATATTGATACTAAGAAAATAAGGAATTCAGTGAAATATAATTAGCTTTTTTGAAAAAAAATTCTCTGAAAAAGTATTTTACATTAACCATTTAAATGACAAGGCAATAAGTTTAGGGTCCTAATACCACAGTCCGAATTTATCTGGCTCAGAGTTAATCTCACACCGCTGAATGTAAACAAACAGGACAGTCTGGTTCCCTCTCCTGTTTGTTGAGAACTAGGCCACAATAACAATGGACATAAAAATGAACTATGTTATTTGGCTTATGACTGAAGTTTTCAGTCAATACTATAATTTGTACGGATAAAGGTCATAAGTTTACAGTCAATACTAGAATTTGTACGGATAAAACTTCGTTTCATTTCTGTTGCATTATTTAGCGTTTTTGTTAATATCTGTCGCGGTTAAGAGTAAGCACAATATTTTTACACGAATTTTAATTTGGCGACTATGAGGTAGACTTCTTGTATTGAACAGGCTGACATAAGCCGACAATTGCTCTTTGAACTCTAAACCCGGCTAAAATGGAATATAACAGAGAAATCACCTCACAATATATCCATCCAGTAAAAGGATCAAACCATGTACCTCTGTCAATAAAACAGATGATACGTTTTTTACGTCATTAATAATAATCGCCACTTTAGAATACCTCGGTGTTTTAAACACAAGTGTAGTACTTATCAAAGAACTTAAAACATTGCTGTGATGTCATTCCTTTGTTCTTGTAGTATAAAAAATTACCTATGGCAGTCCGATATTAGTGAGCAGTCTGATATTAATTAATCTTAATATCAGACTGTCTAAGTACTGATATCCTTCAGAATCAGACTGCTACTGAACAAAAGAAATAAAAAGTTTGATAATTTAACAAACAGCGATTTAAATTTCTCACATAGAATGATGATTTAGAAAACATTTGCAAAATAAAAAAAAAACTTTCAATTACACTGAATATACTGTAACAGGAAGGAGAATGTGTGGAAGACCAGTTAATGCAAATAAATAAAAAAAATAAACCCAAAAAACCCCCAAAAAACAACCAAAAACCGGTAAACTTCTATTAAACTAATTAAAAAGTTAAAAAGTGTTTCAACCCCTTTCTCTGGTTTTTGAATAGGAGTGGGCGCACTGGGAGTCACAAGAGAAGCACAGAAACTTTCAAAACTTTAGACACTATTATAAAGAACAACATTCAAACAATTTGAATTCATTTTTCTCATAGAAAGAAAAATGCCTCTGCAAAATAAAGGTAACTGGGCCTAGAATATAATAATTAATACTTAATTTGACAGATTTGCAACAAATTTTGAAATTTGAAGATTTTCAAAGTTTCCCTCAAAATTCTTGGATTATTGATTTTGTTTGTTTTTTGTTTTTTTTGTAACGGAACATCAAAAACAAAGGTATATGTAGATGCTTATGGACATGCGCAATGTACCTTACCTATTGATAATTTTTCAAGATATTCTAAATTTAAACTTATAATACCAACACATGTTCTTAAACAAAAATTTAGCATGCGTAACCAGGGGTTTTGAAAAGATATCAAAGAAGTCGGTTCACTTTATGCATAATATGTCCCTGTAGATATACCAATTAATTGATCAACAATTAATTTTCTATTTGAAGCATTGAAATAAAATAGAGACTTGGTGCTTTCATTTCCTATTAAAAGAATTGTTCTAAAAGTCCAGGTCTTGGAGAACTGGCATTATGAAATTGCAATGTTTTTGAAATTTTAGGTAAACAGGTATAATTGAGTACTTTCTGTGAATAAAAATGGTATCAGCGCACTCTCTGATCTAAAAAATAAAACATGTCGATTGATCCTCAGAAACAATTCTATCATTTACTAGTTGCATATTTTAGATCAGAGGTTGCGCTCTATATTAAATCTAATAAAATAGCTTTAAAAATTGACCGTTTTTGTAAACTTTTCAAGAATATGAGGAAATTGACGCATTTCGTGACGTCATAATGCATTGACTCGCAAGAAAATGACGTCATTTTTTATAGATACGTAGTTACCAAAGA